AAAATACATTAAAAAATCATCTGTGGAAGCTGTAGCGCTGTAAAAAGCACGACCAATCATCTGAGCCGGCCCAGCTAAAATAACTGGATGGCCTACCTGCCTGTCAGCCTTCCATCTGTGCACAAACTTATCTCGTGCCCTCATTGGTAATGTGCGCGTTCGTGTGTGTTGGAGGAGGGGCTCTGTAAGGAAGTGGCAGATTTTTTCCGGCTGTGTATTTTCAAATTCTAGCGCACTCGAACTGGTTTCTCCAAAAGTACCTACCCCACCTTTAATGTGTGCACATGTATAAATGTGTCTGTTGATTGTGTATATATAGTATATACATATTTTATACATATTTGTATCTATGGGATTGTGGGAAACGGCATTTCGATCTCTCTGTCTGTACACACAAACTGAAAGATTGACAATAAAGTTGACTTGAATCACTAAACGGAAAGTGTGTACACACACACACACACACACACACACACACACACACACACACACACACACACACACACACACACACACACACACACACACACACACACACACACACACACACTAACCCTGAGCAGTAGATGTCTGTTGAATTCGTCTCCAATGCGTCGGAGCTCTCTTCCGACTTCCTCCCTCTGCATGTCCCTTGCTGCGTTTCGTTGCTGCGTGCTAGAGGGGCTGAGAGATCGTCCTGAAACAGAGAGGGGAAAACATGCCCACCTTAGAATTAAGATCACACAGGCATGTATTATGTGTTTCATTTGTATTAGCGATGCTGCTTTTTTTAGGCTTATGCAAGTTAGGGTTATCGACTTTTGATTAATAGTTTGAACATGCAGTCTGCATAAAAAGATGTATAGACATAAAGACACAAGTATATTTGGTGACCTTCAGAAGCATTTTTTAAAAACCTTTTTTTTTTCTTTCTCATCCAATTTTCTACTGCACTCCACTCATCCTGGTAATCGTATTGATGTTCCCACTGTAGTGGAGGCTGCGTCATTGTTGGCCAGAAAGCTGCATTACACACACACACACTATGTATGTACGGATCACTAGCATCCCATTATTTAAAGAGTGTGCACCTCACGCATTATGACAAAGATGTGCAGCTGACTGGAACATTACACGTTTATGTACACATGTGTGTTTCTGTGGCTAATCTGTGATATTTTCAGTCAATACTAAATCAGTATGAACAGTCTGAAAGCCCTGACCTCTTATCGAGCTTCACTTATGACTCACTAAGGCTGTTATGAAACCCATGCTTATTATTTCTCACATCCTCCAATATTTATGAGAACTAAACAGCAATGTAATTATCAGTTCAGCAGAGCACTGACTGCACCCGCCAGTGAGATGTGATGGAAACTATAGGCACAGATGTGGAAATACAGGAAGTGTTTTCTGTAAAATATTAGAAAAGAGAACCAAAAGGTAAACTATGTCAAGTGATGTTGTTGATAACTGTAGAAATGAAAGAATTAAAACACAGATAAGCATCTTTTTCGCTTGATGTGGAGTTCATTTTCAGCTATCTCTCAAAAAACATAAAGTTATTTAAATGGCTTACAATTTTGGGGCAAGCAATAAAAAGCAAATAATTTAGAAAACAGTCTTATCTTATTCTCCTTAAAACATGGAGACATGTACTTATTAGCCAGCTTTGTTCTAAGTTATGTCGAAGCCTCAAGCTAAATCTATCTTTGTACAACTAGCCTCTAGGTTGTGTTATAATCAAACAGTGTTTATATAAATCGTAAAAGCCTCAAAAGGGACTGTTCCACTGGCGTTGTCTGGAGAACCTGCAGCACGAGGAGGAAGCATTGTGATGGGATGGCTTTAAGGAACAACAAGATGATACACTGATCCGCTTTAGGCTTTTATCTCTCATTCACACAAAGAGGCCAGCTTTCCTGATAACCCAAACTTTTTTAAAGGACAATAATTGTGTGTGTGTGTGTGTGTGTGTGTGTGTGTGTGTGTGTGTGTGTGTGTGTGTGTATCTCCTATCTGTGCTATCTGATGGACGTAGCAGATTGAATGAGAGGCGAAGGGTTTCAGTCTGCATCTGACAAAAGGCCTGCAAGCCTATTTTGACTGCTACACACACAGGACTATTTTGATTACATACTTAATGAATAACACACACACACACACACACACACACACACACACACACACACACACACACACACACACACACACACACAGTTCTGTTTTGACTGGTATCTTGTCTGGCTGGCTGCAGCGAGAGAATAAAGGAGACACAAGGCAATCAGTGAAGCTAATCACTGCTATTATAAAGAGAGGTTACAATAAGGAAGTTGTATTTTAGCATCCGGAGATAACTTTTGAACTTGAAAAACACCATTTATCCTACAAATGCAGATGTGGTTGAAGCTTGGGTTTTAATAGAGGAGTCGGGGGGGGGTGGAAATTACGAAGTCACGCAATTCTAACATGCAGTATGTGAGTTTCTGCATTTTAAGTAAAGATGACGAGGAGAATCTGAAAAAACAAATGAAAAGTTCCCCATGACGATGATATTAATAAGCACTAGTGAATATATTTGTCACCCGCTGCACTAGCACTGCTAGGGGGTTCACACAGCTGTTTCTTTTGTTGTGCCAAATCTCAGCCTCATGTCACAGCTTTGTTTGTTTCGAAGTAACAGGATGGGCAACTTTAGCCGACAGCATTATAGCTCTAGGCATGCGTGTCTTCTTCTGTTTACTCGTCCGAAAAAACAGCAAGCATAAAAACAGGGTCAAGGCAGTGAGAAGTGATTAATGTCTAATAAACACTTTGGTGGCTCCAACAGTACGAGCTGAAAACCACAGAGCCTCAACACACAACTCCTGGAAATGCAAAAGCTTCAACTAATACTTTCATTGCCTCTAGTTAGACTCCTTAAAAAGGGAAGTACACCGATTTAACGCATGAAAGTGTGTCTTGGAGAGTACTACTGCGTATGTGAAAAAGATTTATGAAGCCGAACTGTGACAATTACCTAAGGTGAAGTCCATTGAGTTAGTTTGAGAAAGGAAAAAAACTCAGAGGTGTGGAGTTAGAAACAAGTGATCTTACACACTTATGTAGAACGCTGCTTGAGGCTAGCGGCTCGAGGCTACATTAGCAACTAGCATAACACATACAAATCTTCAACCAAACCGGCAGAAGGTTGTTTTGCATTGTGGGTAATGTAGGCTAATGGTTTTGGCAAGGACAACACATAACAAGTGTGGTTTTACTGCAACCAGTTGTATACCTTTTTGAGTCCAACTATGTTTTGGAGGTGCTATGAATGCTAAATATGTATACGGCTATACGCTTAAATAACTTTTACTTAACCCTTAAATCTTGTATCATCTTCAAATGCGGCAAATACTTTATAATCTTGAGAGAAATTACTATTTAATAGTTGTGTGTAATAAGATATTGGACTACAACATTTTAAATGTTGCTTTGATGTGCGCACAGACAAATGTACGTTCTTTATGAGAACTTTAACATGGCATTTTATTGCAACTAATCAAAACGCTAACAATAGATATTTCTGATAAACATTCCGTGGGGCAGTACTGAAAATGTTAAAGTTTGTTTGCCCCTCAGATTCGCTGAATGGTTGCTGCCACATTCGTATTACTTTGATAGTGCACACACACACACACACACACACACACACACACACACACACACACACACACACACACACACACACACACACACACACACACACACACACACACTCTCTACACACACACACACACACACACACACACACACACACACACACACACACACACACACACACACACACACACACACACACACACACACACACACACACACACACAACATTGGGCGTAGACAGAAGTCAAGACCCTTTTCCTTCCTGTAAATCTGACTCAGCAGGATTCAATGAAAACTGTGAATCCAAGGCAGCAGTCCAACGTCAACAGGTCTAACAAACTCATTCACAAAACTCACCCGTGCAAAACAAACAAAAAGTACATTGTCCTTACACAGTATCACAAAGTGTCATTATGTGTTAGTTTGAGATGAAAATAATCACTTAACTAAGGGGTTAGTTCAGGATTAGGACTTAAATGGTGACTTAAGTGAATGTCCACTGTTAATAGTTAGTTAATGTCTTTATTCCTTTCAAATGTTGATATAGTGGCGATCACGTTTGTGCAAATACATTACATTGCTATTAGATTTCGATTGTATCTGCAGGCCTTTGGAAGGATTTTACACACTCATAAAAAAGGCAGCAGAGATTATCAACAGGAAGAGGATTATTACGATGGAACAAAAACACAGGAAATTTGGCACCACTGAGGAGTCATAGTAGTGTGTTTTTGATCTGCATGTTTCTGCCTGAATATCTTTGGATTTCCCTCTGAGAGCAAATTCCATCTGAGTGATTTACACATGTGCGAGTAAAACAATATTTTGGAAAGATGCATGAGTAAGTTATAGTAGGAGGAAAAGGGGAGTGCAACAACCTCAAGTTTTTGTTCATCTTCTTACTTTCATTGTTGACATTTAACACCACCCGCCCTAACCCTCAACTGTTTGATAAAGGAAGCTTCAGTGAGTTTGTGCCGGGCTCTGGTTTCATATTTTGCAGCACACCCACACAGCAGCTATTTCACAGAGAAAACAGTGAAAAGCTAACTGGCTGATTCAGGTCAATCATTTTCACACTTTACAGGTTCAGTTTTTTCAAAAGGGCGGGACACCTACACTTACTTTAAACACTTCAATTTGAAGGAATGCATGCTTCTTAAATCGGATAAACTAGATTACAAAATGAGTAGTGGTTTAGCATTATGATTACAAGTCATTGTTGCTTTTTGAGGAAAGTCACTGACTGGAAGGATAGCAGCAACACGACAAAGAAACGTGCTCAAAAGTGAAAACGTGTGCCAGTAATGATGATGGGAAGTGTTCCTATAACGGTCTTTAAAATATATGCTTTTGTGACATTAAATCCCTTTCCAGATAACTCTAAATCCTGCTTGGATTCAGTGTTCAGCTGATCGTCGGTAATATATGCAAAGTGCCTTTGTATCCTCACCGTGCTGCACGCGCGTCCCGAGTCCACCCCCGTGCGCCTCAGCCACGCGCTGCAGGGCGTGTTTCAGCACCTGTCCGGTGGGGCTCGGAGTCTGCGTGGCTCGGTCAGCCGTCACTGCCTTAGGGGAGAGCGGGGAGTCAGGCAGCGAGTCTCCCTCGAAGGAGAAATATCCACTGGATGTGCGGCGATTGAAGTTGAAAATCGATCTCTTCCGAAACACGTCGAGGCTGTCCGCAGCTGGGGAGCCGGCTCTGGTTCTGCACACGGAGGGCGAGGCCGGCTCTACTCCTCCGGGGGAATCGGGGGGACAGGAGGTTTGCGCTGAGGCTCCAGCGGCTCCCACGGGTAGTGGATCTGCTCCCTGTGGTGCAGTTACTGCTGTGGAGCCATCGGGCAGATTTGGTGGTCTGTTGGATGGTCAGAGCAGCACCGTCAGTGTGGGCTTTCATCACTCTGTCTAAACAGCCTCGCGTCTGACACAACAGCTTATGTGAAGCTGCAAACTACGGACTGTTTCCAAACTATAAACCGGATTATTTCACAGGGATCGCGATGAGTGCTGCGCCAATGAGGACGTGCCAACACAAACTATGATGACTTATTTTATATTCTAGCACATGTGCCCCTGCAGCTGATACCCACATAAATATTCAGAGTTGTGCAGTTAGTATTTGACAGGTTCACGTGCAGTGAGTGTGTTCCTGATGGCTAAAGTGTCCGCCTGGTGCGTCTCCATTGTTTAAAGAAGATGCTGATGCAGCAAATAATTATTTGACTGTATGTCTATGTGTGTGCTCGGGGGGTGGGGTCATAAAGGAAGTGTCTGGAGTAAATTGAACTGCGTCACATATAACAGCCTGAAAGAAATCCGTCCCCGACTCGTCAGTCTGGGAATGTTATTTTAAGCAACGTTTTGTCTGATCGCACAGTTCTGGTTTTATTCAGGATTCCTTAGATTTCAAAAGTGTGGAATTATTAAGATCTTACTCTTGGTGTTAACACTGCTTTGCATTGGGAACAACATTTTACGCCGTTGTTATTTTCAGGTTTAATCGCCAAATCTTGCCATTCTGATTAGAACGCCTCATCAAAATATTTTGACGCAGCGCTTCCTGTTGTCCAGACTGAACAGCAGCTTCCTAAACACAGGGATTCCCAGCAGCAATGACCTACTTCTGTGCCAAATAACCGAAAATGATAAAAGGCAGTTTTATTTTTTACGCACAAGTCGTTATATACCGACAAAGACTTTTACGCACCTTAGATGAAAAAAGTCGTCCTTTTGCCTTTTACGCATTATTACGCACGGAGAAACAGCCTCCACACGCGGGCTTTAAGTGGGCGCCAAGTCTGTCGTGCAGCCATATGAGAATATAAACTTTCCCTGTGGGTTTCGGTGCAGATCCGACCCAAGTTCAGATGGGAGATATCAAGCGTGGCAGGCAGCACGTAGAGAATGGCACCCATACCGGCAAAAAAACCTCGCCGAGAGGGAAACACGCTCACCGGTACAACAACAAAACTAACAAACATTAATTTGATCCGGTGCCGAGGTGTTAAATGTCTAACGAGATCCGTTCAGCAGCACGTCTGCACCGTCACTGTGTTTACAGGATAAGGGCACGGACAAAGCCTAGAAGTGCGTGTGCGCCTCCCACCGGGCAGTAAACCGTGTCTTTAACATGGATACTTCACCGCTTAATATACTAGAGTGGTGCATTAAACAGCGGCTGAACTCTGTGACCTCGAAGATAGCAAAGCAATAGTGAAGGAAAAAAAACACTTTAATTAAAAGGAACACCGTACGATTTCTTATAGTTTGCATAATAACTCCGCACTCCTACTGTAAATCCCTCTAGATATACAACAGGAAAAGCGAACCGAAGAAGAGAATATTAACTTCTGTTTAAAGTTACTTTTTACGCATGAAAAACGCGTAAAATAGATGTTTTTATATCAAAAGAAAGCAAAACGGTGTAAAAGAAAAGTTATTATTAATTTCCTTTATTAAACCCTCCCAAGTGGGTATGACTGCAGCCGCCGGTTTGAGGCGAAGTCGTTTGTTTAAAAGAACACACGATGCCTCTTTCCAAACTCACCTGGATGGAAGGGGCATGTCAGTGTTGGGACATCATCTCTGGCTTCGAAAAAAGAAATACGATGAAATTAGCTCTGCGTAAATATGTCCAACAACTATTATTATTCCAAGTTCAAATAGGATCCACAGGTCGAAAGTGATTTACACTTCTCAAAGTCGACATAGATCCCAGAGTTTTGGCTGAAGAACAATGCTTGAATAATCCTCCTGGTCCGTGTGATCGTTGTCTGCATCTCCTTGCTTTCTCCCTGCCTTCTTCTCTTGCACTGCCTCCGGAGCCGGAGTATGGCAGACTTTAACAGAAGAAACAACCCCGTCACAGAAACGTCATAAGTCCAGCCCCACAGACTTTTTTTCCGTCTCTGTCTCCCCCTAGTGCTCAGAATCGGAGGATGAAACACAGTTCTGCATTTATCATATTCATAGTACTAGGAGCAGTGGGCAGCTATTATACAACGCCAGGGGAGCAATGGAGAGCGGGAGGGATGTCCGGTGCCTTGCTCAAGAGCATCACGGCAGGGGCTGAACTGGGACCTCTCCAAGTAGCAGTCCACACTGTCTGTTCGGGGACTTGAACCGGCGACCCTACAGCTCCCAGTCCAAGCCCTTACTGACTGACCCACATGCCTCGGTGTCCCTCACTGTGAATCAAATATAAAAAGAGTAATTTGTCTCTGTATAAATGTCAGGTTGTGGTAGATTTGTTGATTAGAAATAAAATGTCTGAAAAAAAATCATTGATAAATGTTTATGAAAACATTATAAAGACGATTCTCAGGTGTGATCTACAACATGTATTTTAAATGAATAATATAATAGCATGTAAGTGGCTAGCATTGTTTAAAGGCTTGGTGAATATGAATAGCCCTAGATGTCATTTTGTTATTGGAAATATATATTCCACCTACAGGTTGGGAATAACTTCACATAAGTCATGGAGAAAGGATGGGCTTTTGGGAGAGTAGAATAGTAAGGGGACCCTGAGGAGCATGAACACTGGAGCTCCGGTGTTCACTTTCCTCCACCAGGAGTGTCCAAACTCTCTTTGGCTTATCTGGATTTATGCCAAAGAGTAGAGTTGGCGTACATTCAGACGTGTCCTGCACAGAGGGGAAGAAAGTAGAGTTGTTAAGGGACCATCTCCAGTTATTGTTTTCTCCTGATCCTAGGATAACTTCAAAAGAAAAAGTGTTAGGTAAAGATCTGGACTTGGGCGCCTGGAGGAATGTGAACATCCGAGCTACAAAACTCCAACAGCTGCAGGGCATGGGAGAAAAAGGAGTCACACACACTAATACACATAGCACACACACACAACTGAATCGATACAGACAGACAAAAGGGCGAGACAATCAATAGCATTTACATGTGATCAATACCGATCAATTCCTCAGAGTGTGGGAAAATGTGTGTGAACGGTTGTAAATATCTGCCGTGGCTAATGTCCACTTTCTATTGGTTTCTATTGCTGCACATTTTAGTATGTTTTACTTTAAGGGTTATCAGATATGTTTAGTGGGATGATGATGCTGAAGACATTGCCAATAGTCGTGAACATTTTTAAAGGGATAGTAAAAGAAAGATGGATATTTGTATGATTGCTGTTCTTAGAGCTGGACTGTGAATGTGGTCGGGACATCTTAAGGAAACTAGATAAGTTAAAGGCTTTAACGAGTCATACAACAGCAGGATGGAGCCCACACTTCATTAATCAACTCCATCAAGGTTATTACCCCCAATCAAATATCCATACGCATCGGCGTTTAACCGTTTGTAAGTTGAGGAAAATAGAAATCTCAGCAAGAGCCATGACATGACTATATTTATTTATGTATTCGTTTATTTGGCAGGGACATTGCACATTAATGAAAACTTAAAACATGAAATGTGCCAACTGTAAATATGCCAGATTTAGCTTTGAGCTACTTTCCATCCGCAGTCCCTCACATAAAACATTAGGAAAATGAAAATTACAGCACAAATACATAAAATGCAAGAAAGTAGAATACCCAAGTACTTAGGACATGGTAATACAATATAGCAGCATCGATGCATAAAGCACAAGAGAAGATACCCCTGTATTAAAGTGCATTTAGTGGTGATCGATAGCACGTCTGTTTGTTTCTCAACCATTATTATTATACTCTCTTGTTCTAGTCTTTTTAGTTGACAAACCAGGGAACAATCTTACATTCGTACACCTGCCATAAAAGCACTTTTCACAAAAAGGAGAGGATCATATTTAATTAAGGAAATAGTTCATTTGGGACACATTTGATTTTGGCAAGGAGACTGTACAAACTTGATTGTTACTGTGTTTTTTATTCAGGTCCTTTACCTATGAGCTAAGTGGAATTGGCATGCCATTAGAGAAATTGCCCCGAGGGTCCTGCAGGATCAAGTTTCCTCAGATGCATCGTGCATGCCTTTAGGACACAGTATCACTCCCATCGTCTCCCACTTCTGCTGATTACTGAGAGGACGAGATAAGACAGACGGGGTTTTCTGCCTGGTTGGTTTCATACAAGTGCATTTACTGTAAATGGTTCCGGATTTATAAAGACGTTTATGGTTGCCTGTGTGTCTCCCATGCAAATTTGCATGCAAATCATTGTTGGAGCCTTGAACCGCTGGAACATGAAAACATGTCTGAGTTTAATGGCCTCATTCAGCAGCCCTGAGGGGATTCAGGGTCATTACAGATTGCTCACTGCAGTAGACACTCTTAAACACTGTTTTAAAAAGAGCTGTAAATTAGGCTGAAGTGCAAACGCTACCATTTTGTGCAAGTGAGAAAATAAGCTGATGGCCATATATCAGCTGAGTCATGATGGCTTGATACATTCAGACAACACGTGACCAATACTGCGTACTATGTTCATCAAATCTATCGAGTTTCTGGAGATGCAGTCGCAGTCCAACCCCCTTACATATTTCATCATTGAGAAAACACATGTTAGCAGTCACGGTAACAAACACATGCAAGCTTATTTTACTGTTGTGATTATGTATAACAATTAGATAGAAATCCCTCCTCCCCTTGCGCTTCAGAAGAGTGTTCATTACAACATATTGACCCAGTTGTGGAAGTGAGTGAAGCGTTACAAGTGGACGAGTAAGGCTGATCAACACAGTGTTTTCTGAGAGACAGTGTGTGAAACAATTTGTTTACAATGGTGTAAATGCTTAATACAATCAGAGTGTAACACATTTATTTGTATAAACACTTCAAAGTAATAGCTGCAGCCATTATAAAAGTGACCTAATATAAAATAAACAGTAAGAGATCAATAAATGAAACACTTATACACATTTAATATGCTGATACCTGACTCTTACAGGGTGTGTGTACGCATGTGTTTAACTGACATTGACAACTGGTCATTGACTGCTAATGGAATGCCAATCAGTTCCCACGCAGTGGACCATAAGCCCCCCCTCCCCCCCATTCAGACAACACTGACCACCTGGACCAGTGTGTGAGTGAGTGAGTGAGTGATGTGTGTGTGTGTCCATAATAATATTGACTGGTTGTAATGTGAGAAGTCAGGACACAATAGCGCTGTAACTCTGAAGACCTAACACCATGCTGAGAGAGATCACAGCTAGGTGTCACAAAGAAACAGAAACACACACTGACACACACATGCTTTAACTTCAGTATCACTTGTCCATCTATACAAACGGGTAGTCATTTAAAGGCGGTTAATAATAAACAATATGTCTAATTTATGCCTGGTTAAACCTTCAATGTATGCCCGTGAGGCAACTAGTATCTGCCCAACTTAAACCAAGTTTTGGATGTGAGGCTCTGCAGTGGAAACACAAAGAAACTAGTTTGCAATTGGGCACCACCTCATAACCGGCTCATTACCTGCCTTGGAGAAAAATAAGTGTAAATAAGTGTTCATACTGCAACTTAAACGGAGTGTTTTCTCTTTGCATATGCCTCAATTTCATTAAGTCCTGATGTTAATCATCTGCATGGACATGGAGATATGTAAACACATTAGTCCCATTTAATGGCTTTAATTCTAAATGTGGGTGCTAATGAACTCTCAGTAACCACACATGTATTGCTGTGTTTCTACCAATGTTTGCTGCATTACAGCATGTCAATATCCAAGCAGGTGTTCAGCATCGTTTGGAAATTGACAGATAAAATCCAACGCTGCTTGACCGTGCTTTGTATACTGGTTTGCACCAACCCACTGTTCAGACACAAACCCGTCTCATTTGAATGCATGGCATAAAGTCCCTTCAGATGAATCTAAATCTAAACACACTACTAATCTCTGTGTGTTTGCATGTCTGTCTTTTTCTCTATTTCATTCAACTTTTTCCGCGTCCATCCATGCGTCTCCTCTCTCGCTCTTTATCTTACAACTCTGCCTGGAACTCCATCTATTTATTTCCATACATTAAACTGTGAAACACGATATGTTGTGCTGCCCGAAAAAGATTGCTGCATGTATGAGTGTGTCTGTGTGTGTGTGTGTGTGTGTGTGTGTGTGTGTGTGTGTGTGTGTGTGTGTGTGTGTGTGTGTGTGAGACATGTAGAAATATCTGCAGTAGAACTTTAAAGGTTACCAGCCCCCAAGGAAGGAAAGCGCCTCAAAAAACAGAAACCAGTGAGGTGACACCTGCAAAGTATAATGTTATAAAGGATGTGTTATCTATTAAAATACAGTTTTGGTTTTGGTAACTTCACAGTTGTATGAAATATATACATATGCAAATACTTTTACACACTATTCATTTGAACTCAAACGTAAATGTTGTCAGTACCATGATTTACATGTGAACAGAAGGTCACACGTAACTTTTTCCACTTGTAAAAGTAATTTGCACAGGTTTTGGTTTCCACTTTACAAACCAAAACACGACTCAAAACATAAAGTATGCATGTTTAAAGATTAGAAGACATAGTAAAAAAAATGTGGCTCGACCAAAAATCGTTTTTAAAATGTGCTATATAAATAAAACCTGATTTGATTTGATTATGAAATGTCAAAAAGATTACACTGGGTGTGCACTGAAGTAGGATGCCCCTAATTTCAACAAAATGACCTGATGACATCTTGTCACCTGAAACACTAAATTCTGCTTCACGTTTCATTTAAAGTGAAGCGTTTACCTCACTGTTTTGCTCTATTGCTCAAGCCTCTTGCAGTAGCCTACATACCCCCTCTTACACATGTGGAAAAAAAAAAAAAACACAAACCCCCTAAAAAAGAAAATGTGATATTTCAGAGGCAGGATGCAGATATTTAGTTGAAAGAAGCTAAATGTCTGCATCCTGAGAGAGAACGTGCGCTCGGTGTTTCCCCCTGCAGAAGGTTTGGTGGGGTTTAGCCCCACATTAAGAGAGGCAACTCAAATATGTCTGAAGTAATACTATAATGATTGAGATCTCTATATCATTGTTATTGTTGTTCTAAGAAGAAAGCAGTTGTTAAAGGGGCTCTTTTATTAGCTAACCTGCTCTGTTGTGATTGGTCAACTGCTCAGAGATGTCCCGATACT